ATTCAGTGTCATCGATTCAAGCTTCTTGGTGATTCTTTCTAATGACATATATAATTTATTTTGATATTACAAATCTTCAACTTGCATTCTCCATAAAACAAAGTTTGAATCACTGAACTTATCCACGATATACCTCACTTCAACAGTCATTGCTCCCACTTGAATCAAAGATCTTCATAAAACCTCATTTTAATACCACTTGTTGAGGACAAAAAAATCATATTTGATCAATTCACAACCAAATCACAATATGAAAAACACACTGATACAAGAGATCTGAACAATGAATCGAAACGCATAAATGATAAATCCAAAAAAGCATACAAGTTTTAACAAGGAATAACCGAGAACGGGAAAAACCATTGAGTCATATCACACCAAAAATTTCACTATGAAGATCATGAGAAATGTACATATTTCACTGCGCTCTAATTTCCTCTTACAACATTCAACCAATCATTTCTCTTTTGATCGCACAAGAGAAACAGTCAAAATCAACCCATTGACTTTTCACACAACTCACACGTGTTACGTATCATCGAGGTGACCGCCAGCTAATTTTTTAATGAAACGAGGGCTTAAAATCAAATTGGGAGAGAAAACCGCTTCTAGCTCCAGATCTCCCGTCTCAAGAGCTGTCTTTCCACTCACTGTATCTCGGAAGTACTATCTGGGAGCTCACACCCCTTTGGGTGCAGGAATCCCAATCGCTCTAATTCTAGACCTGAAACGAACAATATCGCAGCGCAACTTCATCCTGAATGGGCCATAGAATTCGCAGTGCTCTGTGCACTGAGCGTCTACATGAACCAGGGCACCACAATGGGCGTTGGGGTGCCCCCTATGGGAGCTAAAATGCCTGCTGGAATGCTGCAGGGCTGTGTTATCATGCTCCACACCTAGCAAAATTAGGATAAGCACTTGTTCATGATATTAATACAATCCTGATTGTGTTTCCAGCTGCAACTCTTACCACAAGTTGTAGTTTAAATTTTATACAGAATAAAAGAAATAATAGCAATGTTACCTCTAAACTTCCTAAAATTCTTCTCCATCCAAATATGTAGATCATGCAATTTATAAAAAAATAAATTTTTTCGTACCTCTGAAGATAACAATCATACCCATATATATTCCAAAATCTGCAAAAGATGACTAAAAAGAAAGGTGGATGTCCACAACAACCAGTCCTTTAAAATGGCAACAACAACAACAACAACAACAAAGCCTTAATCCCACTACGTGGGGTCGGCTACATGAATCCTTTTTCTCCATTGCGTCCTATTTAGTGTCATATTTTCATTTAGTTCTAGTAAATTAAGATCATTTTTAATACAATAAGCCCAAGTCTTCCTAGGTCTACCTCTGCCTTTCTTAACACAAGTCAAATCTAAAACATCTACTCTCCTAATCGGACCATTAGATGGTCGACGTTTAATGTGACCAAACCATCTAAGACGACTTTCTCTAATTTTGTCTGTCACAGGAGCTACACCAACCCTATCACGAATATATTCATTCCGCATTTTGTCTCTAAGTGTAAAGCCACTCATCCACCTAATCATTCTCATCTCGGCAACACTTAACTTATTATTATGCTTCTCTTTTAAAGGCCAACATTCAGCGCCATAGAGCATTGCAGGTCTCACCACCATCTTATAAAATTTTCCTTTCAGTCTTAGCGGTACTTTTCTATCACACAAAAAACCCGAAGCATTCCTTCACTTCAACCAACCAACTTGAATTCTACTATTAACATCCCCATCTATATCACCATCGCTTTGGACAACGGACCCAAGATATCTAAATCGTTCACACCTTTTAATAATTTGATCACCCAAAGTCACACTTCTGTCACTAGAGCTATTACTACTAAAATTACATTCCATGTATTCAGTTTTAGTTCTACTTAAACGAAGGCCTTTAGACTCCAATGGAGACCTCCATAATTCAAGA